CCTCCATCCACATGACAGAGAAGGGAACGCAAAAATGACTCGGCTGCAACTAAAAATATGGGTGGAGGACCTCAGTTTAGCTTGTTTGTTTGTCACATTAGCACCGAGCTAACACATATAAGGCAATATAGCATCAGTGCTAGCGCAAAGGCTAACAGGCAAAACTGTGGTTCTTCTTCCATGAAGCAGCTCTGTTGTCCTCAATCCACATTTCTCCTCTCTGTCAACGCTCTCTGGTTTCATTTAAAAGAGTCGATCATCAGATATTGTCCAAGATTAACCTTCAGGGTGGATATAGCTCGCTCACACCGAGGACCTATCTACATCATCTTTTACCCAGAATGCTTTGTGTGTAAATGAAATGGCTCCATCCGTGTTAAAATATATTTTTAAACATTTACAAAACTAAGCCTACAGCATTTTTACAGTCTTTATTTTACACTTAAAATATATGTTTATCAAATAAAGTCTAATGTCACAACTAATCGGGGATCCCTTTAAATGCACTGCGAGTGCCTCTCTTGCAAAATCTGATGACAAGGGAAGAGGAGACCAAAGATCCACTCACAGCTCCTCAAACAACCTGACACTCAGGAGCTTGGAAAGTCCAAGCAATGTACTAAATGGCTGAGAACATCCAGTGAAGGCGGTCAGCTTGGCAAAATATCTAAAATGTTAATCTTGTTGTGAAACTTCTGGGACAATGGCAATGTTTTTGGAGAAGTGTTGTCGGTGAATTCTCGAGCGGTGGAGGAAACCAACGAGGATCTTGATGGAAATGGGGAAGATCAGCAAATTTTTAGAGAACTCGTGGAAGAGGTAGAATACGGAATGCTAATATTAAAGCGTGACAGAAACAGAAACTAAGATAGCCACAAAGGCAACTTGTTAGGTGGTAAAATGCAAAACACATTTGCACAATATAGATAGAAACATGGACTCAGGTCCCAACACAATAAAAGATAAGAAATACAGAAAAAACATGCTTGTAAGGGTTCACTGCCAACAAGATGGCAGCAGGACCTAAAGTGTTATTCAAGTTATCTGTCGAAGGTTCCTGTATTTTTTCATATTGCAATATACATCGCATTATCATCATTGTGACTATTACACACACATACATTGTGATGACAATGCTAAAAATAAAAGCTAATTTCCATTTTCAGTGCCTAAAAATGAATTTAAATCTTTTTTTTTTTTACATGAACTGTACAGGAAAAATAAATGCGATTATGTGGTCCTAGGCAAATAATTGAARTCATTAATAATTTTATAAATTTCCAACTGCAGTTCTAAACATTATTTAGAGTATTTTTCACTCACTTTTTGTCTCTCCGTTGTTCTCCTACAGCCTAGATCACAATTACTTTGAAAAGGCCAAGTATGAAAATTAGATAATGACATCTGACAATTTGTAAAAGAGCAAATAGCTACTTTTCTTAATGAGGATTCAGCAACAGTGCAAGTTGTCGGTGTAGTGTTTTTGTGGATGTATTTGTTTTTAGACAGCATTGAATGTATACGACTTTGTATGCATGAGCTCAAAAAATAAAAATAATAAAAATAAAAATCGGCCTTGGCAGGTCAGAGCTATTCAAAAAGCCAGAAGTCATTCTGGGGAAAACGACAGGTCCACAGGGGAATGAACTGAAAGGAATAACTTCCACTAACATGCTGGAACAAGCTGTCTAAACCAGGGGAAACAGTCAGGGTCTGTTAGCTAAATGTTATCCCCCACCACCCCGAAAAAATAAATAAATAAAAATAAATTCTTCCCCGCTGCGAGGTGTCAACGGAAATGTGTTAAAACACCGGTGTTGTAGC